TTTTATTGGAAATCTTCTGGTGATTTTCTCCTTATTCTGGGCTTTTCAAGAAGTAAGCCTTGAGGAAAAGCCCCACAATTATTCTCTCTCTATTGTGTCTTTACAGAGTAGCTTATGTCTTCTATAGAAGACATATTCTTATTCTTTACTATAGACGGAATGCTTGTGTTCCCCCCCCCCTCAAACTCACGTGTTGAAATCTAACTCCCAGTGTAATGGTGTTAGGAGGTGGGGCCTTTGGAAGGTGATTGGATCATTGGATTCATGAGGGTAGAGTCCTCATGAATGGGATTTAGTGCCTTTATGAAATGGGATTTCATAAAAGAGACTTCAGAGAGCTCCCCGTTCCCCTTCTGTCACAAAAGGACACAGAAATTTGAACCAGGAAGCCAGACTCACCGGGTACTGAGCCTGCTGACACCTTAATCTTAGACTTCCCAGTCTCTAGAACTGTGAGACATGAATGTTTATTGTCTAATCCACCCAGTCTGTGGGTATTTTGTTGTGGCAGCCTCAGTGGGCCAAGACATTAATAAAGCACTACTTTTATTTTATTATTTGGATTTGGAGTCTGGCCACCTGCTGTTACCCTGTAGTCACGGGGAGGTTTCCAAACCTCCACCTCATCTTTGACGACTGGAGGCCTTTGCTGTGGTGTCACTGTGCAGAAATCATTGTTCCACTGCCTTCGTGCTTAATGGGTCAGCCGCTGTGTTTCTGTTCTGTGAAGTGGGGATGTATCTATCTAAGAGAGCAGCTTTGATAACTAACGACAACGTACAAGACTCTTGCACATCAAGGACACTTACATCACACCCTTCTTCACCTACTCTGCTCACATCCCCCAAAGTAGAATTCTTTTTGGGGTCCTTTCTCATTTCATTGTGTGTACATTTCTTCGGTTCATTTGCTCTAATCTTTGTATTACATTTGCATGTTTTTCATCATTTTTTCATTTTCAGGTTTGTGAAGCCAGCCTAAAAATTTTCTTCCTCCATCTTCACCTTCTGTTTTGTGATCTTCATGTCTACTTACTTCTTTATTTTGGTTTTTTATTTCTCATAATAAGAATAAACATTACGTGGAAAGCATTAGTACTGGCTGACTGTGGAAGAACTTTATTGTGCAGCGGAGGTGATGTTTGGTTCTGTAAGGATGCAGGACACTCCACATCAACCCGAGAATCCCTAGGGCTTTTCTCAGCTTCCGGATCTCTGGTCAGTAAATTTCACCAATGCAAAATGCAAGTTGGGTCACACGTCCGCGTTTTATTATTCCCTTAGGATAATGAAAGCTGTTGCTTTGTGACTTTTATGTTATTGAAATAAAAACCCCTCTAACTCTTGGGTTGTAAGACCATCATGTATTATCATCCATATGTACTAGTACTTGTAGGACCTCACCACTGGTTAATAAAGAGGGCACCGTATTTTTTTCTTTCATACTAAGTCCTTGTTTGTTGTGAAGTTATCCTAACATCTACTCACAACCCTCTAAATTTCATATTTTCATGGCAGAAATCTCTGACTCACATGGACTATCTTTTAACCAAATTTTTAATAAATGCAATTTCCATAGTCATTTCTTCCCATTTCCTTTTGGCTGTTTTACCTATACTCTATAAAAAGCAATTGTGTAACAAAACAATAAAAAAGCAACGTCTATACCTCTTTTTACTTATTATTTTATTGAATTTATTGGTATGACATTGATTAATAATGGTATAGGTTTCAAGTATAGAATTCTATAATATGTCATCCGTATATTGTATTGTGTGTTCACCACCCAAAGTCAAGGCTCTTTCCATCCCCACTTACCCTCCCTTTGCTCTGTGCCTCTTTTACAATTGGTATTTGCTTTTAGTAAGTTGGTTTTTCTGGGCGCTCAGTTATGTTCTTCATAGCCCTAATAGGAGCTTCCTAAAAACTCTTTCAGTGCACCAGGTATAGGGTAGATGGCAAGGTGCGATAACCCCAAAGGAACTTGCATTTAATAATACAGTCAGAAAGGGAAGTGGAAATAATCAACAAAAGCATGAAGAAAAACCATAAAGACCAGTTATATTGTATTTGCTCCAAGGTTTCTCATTCTACACTTCCTCTCCTCTCTCAAACCCATGCATATTTTGGATAAATACATTACTTTTATTTCCTGCCATATTTGGCAATAACTACACATTCACTTTGAAGGTGAAACTTAAGTAATTGAGTAGGCATACCTATATTTGATTATTAGAGGCCAAAATTAGAGAATACTGTTAAACCGCATTCTTTCATTATTAATATGGATAGGCAGTAAGCTGGGACTATATACAAACTGTGTAGATATAAACATATTATAGCCTCTGAGATGGTATATTTAATGTTTCTATTTTTCATTGTTGTCCATTCCTGTTAGTTCTTTCCCAAAATATTTTAAGAAGATTGTGCTTAACTCTATACATTAAAATTTAAAGGTCATAATTAAATAATATAACAAAAATTAAAAGATTAATTTTTATTTTAAGTTTACAGGGTTATTTGTTTAAACTTACATAGCATTTACAGATAGATTAAAATAATAATTAATGAAATGACTCCTCTAATGGACAAAAAACACTTCAGGAGTGCCCATTTGGAGTACACAGTTGGAATGATTGGCTAATATATTTAACTGGATATGCTCTAGGGATCGAGACACTTCTTCAACTGGGCAAAAGGCCCTCACTGCTCTCGGGGTGCACTTGTTCTGTCATTGCTCTTCTGCCCTGCAGGCCATGAACGTGGTGGGAAGTGATAACTGTGAACCGTTATGGAGGTTTGCTAAGTGACGGGCCATGCAGTGAGCTCCGTGCACCCACGAGCTCGGTAGATGTTCGTAGAGAGTCGAGGGAGTGACTAGATGGTCAGTGCTTCTGGTTTCCAATGCGCAGCAAAGGCCCTTTCTCTCAGCTAGTTCTGTATCTATGGGGATTTCTCTACTTTTCTTCACAAGTGAATTTTGACACTATCTTTTATATCTCTTGACCTTAGATATTTAAATCGAGTTGAAAAAAAATAAATCGAGTTGATAATGTTAAAAAGCACTATTCTCTGAAGTATTTGATGTTTAATGTTTTAATACTTTTCTAATGTACTACAAATATGAGTAAAGATCTTGGCAATTTCTCTTTGATGACACATCTAGACATTACATAAAGACAATTTGTAATAACATTGTAATGTGAATTAATTCAAGAACTACTGAAAATAACCCCCCATTCAACCTAGTGTCATTATTATCTGGAGAGCACATTAATGTTGTATAATTTTCTGATGATTAAACTTCTTTAGTTTGCTGTTCTCATATATCATTAGAATGAACATGCCACTTATAAAATATTAATTATTCATAACACCCAAGAATTACATCTGCTTTATTATTTTATTCTTAAAACTGTGCTGAAGAAAGCAACCCATAATAATTACTTTACAAGGGGGAACCCCCCAAATCCAGACTTTGTTTATTAAAAATTGTGTATTTATTCTTGCGTGTTTAAACTTTAGTCACCTTCAGAGCACTCTCCATTTGATGCGATGTCTGTATGAAGACTTTCCCACTGCTCAAAAGCAGTGGAGCTCGTTGATTTTGATGCCTTTTAGTGCTTCTGCCGTTTTTATTTCACCTCTTCCACATCAGCAGAATGTTTCCTTTTGAGGACTTTTTTGTCATCTGAGGAAACAAAAAAAGTCACTTGGTGCGAGATCAGGTGAATAGGAAGCATGGGGCTTGCGTATCATGCTGGTTTTGGACAAAAACTGCTGAACACTCAGCGTGGTGTGGGCAGGGGCGCTTGTAAATCAGCCATCATGAAACAGGCAAATGTGTTGAAAGCGTCTTCAAAAACAAGTCACTGAAGCCAAATGCAGCCTCTCACAACAGTGCCAGCTGGCACACTGATACCAAAGGGTTCTTAGAACACTCACCTAGCAGGGGCAGCCTGTACTACAAGGGGCCCGCCTTACAGAAGTTAATTTCACTTTTGGGGCACTCCCCTCATATGTATTCAACCTGATTGAACAAAAATGGCAACCTGTGATAGATTTTTACAGCACATATAATATAATTAATTCAAAACGTGGTGAAGAACATGCAATTAAAATGCCCTCATTTAAACCCCATATTTCTGTTTCCTAACACTGAAACATACGTACTTACAATGAAATACACAAGCATATGTCCACTGAATTCGTGGGGTTTTTAATCTAGCTTTTCTGTTGATTTCACTAGAATTCAGTGTTATTCAAACAGGAACTATACTATTTTGAGAGTAGTTTTTAAATACAAAGGGACAATGTTTATGACATTCTTTAAGTGGTTTGGTTTCTTGGGCTTTTGTAACACATTCAGGTGACTGATTTTGTCTTGACTTATAGCCAAAATAAAATGGAAAATTCATATATAGTCTAAGTAAAACTTTAACAGTATAGACTTATTAACCACTAAACAAACATATGTTGGCTACATATATGCTGTGCTTACCTTTGTAAAGGTAACATTCAGGTGTATGTCTTGAACTATTTGGAGCATTCTGTTGTATGACAAGTATCCAGTGAAAGCATTTATACTCTGTCATTGGTTTGACAATCCAGTTATATTTCTTTAAATATCTTACTACTTTTTGAAAATGCTTAGGGGATCACATGACCAAGTAAAAACACAGTATTGTTAAGAGATTATGGGAAATTTATTTTTTGTATTTGTTATTTTAATATAGCAACTGAGATAGACTAACAGATATTTCTAATATTTTAACTGTATATTAAACTGATTCTCTATATATTCAATATGTCCCTAATTACTGAGATTTATACTAACCTACAGATTGCTTATAACATCACCCTCCCAATTTCACATGGCACTGAAAAATGACATATTGTTTTGTTTTAGAAGATTCTAGCAGAAAATGGAGTCACTTGAGGGGTTAGGAGGGGGATTTTGAGACTTGCTTTAAGGAATCTGTGTGTGTATTTGATGTGCAGCACCTGTTCTTCCTGGAGCCTACCAGCAGAGCCATTCCCAAGGCTATGGGTACATGCACCAGACCAGCCTGTCTTCCATGAGGTCAATGCAGCATTCACCAAATCTAGTAAGTGTGAGCTTGAGGTGCTCCTTTTTCCCTGGTTTTCACTTCATCTGCAGAATAGAAACATGCATGGAATAGAACATTATGCATTTTAATGCTAAAATGATTTCTATTTATTTTATATTTTAAAGTTTATTATGAACTTATAGTTAATATACAATATGATATTTGTTTAGGTGTACAGTATAGTTATTTGACATTTATCTTACCTTACATTGTGATCATCACAGTAAGTCTAGTAACCATGTGTCACTATGCAAAGTTATTGTGGTATTATCGACTATATCCCCTGTACTGTGTATTACAATCCCATGACTTCTTTTATAACTGGAAGTTTGCACCTCTTATCCCCTTTCACATTTTTAATTCATTCTCCCTATCTTTTTTTCCCTCTGGCACCATCAGTTTGTTCTCTCTCTGAGTCTGCTTTGTTTTGTTCATGGGTTTTTTTTTTAGATTCCACACATGAGCAAAATTATGCAGTATTTGTCTTTCTCTAACTTATTTCACTTAGTGTAACAACCTCTAAGTATAGGGAACTGGTCTGTGTGGCAGTGGCAAATGTCGCTCAGCCCTGGTTTGGAAAACTGACAGGCACGAGGCAGCACACAGGAGCCAGGCCCACAGATAGGCTCTCCCATGGGGAATCAGGCCTGCATTTGAGGCTTGCTTATTTAGGATGATTTGAGGCTTGCTTTTGCTAAAACTCCCTCACCTTGAATTAAGGCAGAAATGTTTACTGCCTATCTTTAAAGTAACTTCCTAAAGTCTGTACTAATCCTCCCAAGGATGGAGTGTAACCAGTTCAACTGCTTTTCCCCTTGCATTTGCAATGTCCTTTTTTTTGTTATCCATAAGAAGTAAATGGAAGCATCTTTTCTTGTGCATAATAAATGAGGACCCTTCTTGATGTAAGGCTCCCAGAAAAGCAATAAAAGCCTGTCTAGGCAGGGGTTGGGGTGCTCTCTCTCTCTCAGAGAGTGGCCATACCATTCCTTTTCTCCACGGGACTTCTGCAGTCCATGTGAATTTATTCTTCACATTCACAACACAGGACCCCGCCAGTCAGAGTCTGCATCATCTAAGCCCATCCATGTTGTTGCAGATGGCAAGATTCCATCTTTTTATGGCTGAGTACTATTCCATTGTCTATATGTAGCACTTCTTCTTTATCTATTTATTTCTTTATGGTTATGTACATGTTCATATAGAGGAAAAATACGTGCTGCCATTTGTACAACCCATTTGAAGGAAGCAAAAGACTTATAGAGATAAACCATCGAGAAAGGAAGGTGTAATGTGAAAATATGTAAACCATAAAACACAAAGAATCTACTAGTATGATGTCCTTATTGGTGTTACTTTATGATTGGTGTTAGCCAATTATGATCTTCATTTGGGTCTAGAAAGCACAGATATTTGGTCACATAGTTAATCTGAGCATTAATCAAAATGGCTCCAAAAACTTAAATGACAGAGCCAACATGCTTTTGAGTCGTCCTACTGGAAATCTTAAAACATTGATTTATTCATTAAATGTAAAATTTGCAAGTGGCATTTCTCATTTAGTTAAATGTGACATCTCATGCTGAAATTGCTTCTCCAAGCTCCTGAGACAGTCCTTTGGCCCACTGCCCACCCAGCAGTTGAAAGTTATCTTCAGTCGCTCTAAAATTCTGTGTGTCTCAGCCAGTTTCCTCAGTTTATGAATTCACTTGATTTTGAGATTGTCTGATGTTGATATTAGCTCAACTCCTGACCTTAAATAAAAACAAGTATAGCAAAACTCAATTTATGTTTTTGATATTAAACCTTTATCACAGATAAGATTTGTAAACATTTTCTCCCATTCAACAAGTTGCCTTTTCCTTTTGCTGACAGTTGCTTTTGCAGCGCAGAAGTGTTTTAGTTTGACGTTGTCCCACTCACTTATTTTTGTTCCTATCGCCTTTACTTTTGGTGTCAAATTTAAAAATTATCACTAAAATCAATTGTTTTCTTCTAGGAGTTTTATGGTTTCGGGTCTTACATTTAAATCTTGAATCCATTGCGAGTTAATTTTTGTGTATCATCATGTAAAATAATGGTGCAGTTTTATTCTTTTGCATGAAGCTGTCCAGTGTTGCCAACACAATTTATTGCAAAGATTGTCCTTTTCCCATTGTATATTCATGGGCCTTTGTCATAAATTAATTGACCCTATATGCATGGGTTTATTTCTGAGCTCTCTATTCTATTCCACAGATTTATGCCAATATTACACTATTTTGATGACACAGTTCTGTAACATAGTTTGAAGTCAGGAAGCAAACATTTTCCTCATTGTAATAAAGATTTAGTTATATGTACCTTAATATTTAGAACACTTACATGCTAAATTTCTACCAGTGTGATACAAGAAACAAAAAAGGAGTAATCAATGATTTTTTTCTTTTATTTGTTTTACACATTTTTAAGAGGAAACAAAAATTCTTAGTAATTGTTAAGAAAAATTTATTGCCCCCATCAGGGGTCCAGTTGCAGTGACTTGGGGCAGGCTTGGATCTGTCTGCCACCGTGGCACGTTTTGTTCCCCGGAGACCATGGACTAGGGAGCATCAGTGTAACCTGATGTCTCTGGGGCCAGCTGGAGCTGGGAGGAGCTGGGCTTTACTGCTTCAAAGCTTACTTGTTGCAGGGCTAATAGTTATATTGAGCAGCTTGCTCCATCCTCATTCTGGCCCCCCAATGTTATGCTTTTTGCTAACCTAGTGAACTTGAGATGAGCATAACTGGAATACTAGGCTCCAGTGTACAAATTTCCAGAAATGTATGTACTTGGTAACATTCCTAGTTACTTTATGAGTGTGCTGGTTTGTTGTGATTGTTATTTGTGGTCATTACTATTTTGGTATTCATTGTGTGACCCTGTATTTCCTTTTCCAGAGAACCTACCGAGCTATGTATGATTACAGTGCCCAGGATGAAGACGAAGTCTCCTTCAGGGACGGTGACTACATCGTCAATGTGCAGCCCATCGACGACGGTTGGATGTACGGCACAGTGCAGAGAACTGGGAAAACCGGGATGCTCCCAGCAAATTACATCGAGTTTGTTAATTAGTTATTTCTCCTTTCCCTTTGAGCTGTATTCTAATGTACACTTAAACCTAATCTTTCTAAAAGATAGAAGATACTTTTAAGACAACTTGGCAGTTATTTTACAATAATTTATCCTTACTTTGGCACACAGGTACCAGAAAGAAGGAATGATTTCTGGGCTGCAAACAGCAGCAGTGTTAGTAATTCCTGCAAACAAAACACCACGGTCTGGATACCTGGTGCTGCTAATTGTTACTGTTTTCTTTTGATTGGCTACTGAACCCTTCTGGGAAATGTATTTTTGTAGACTTTAATAGAGATGTTGATTGTCCTGTAAATGTAGCAAGTATATGAGACTTCTTAGCTGTCACTTTGGAATCACCAGAAGCCAATTCTCTTAATTTAGTAACACCGTTTAGCTGTGGAGTCATTAGGCAATTTCTAACTCCGTGAAAAATTGCCTAATATAATAAATGTTAGCAGTGGCAGAATGACAGTTTGGTTCAAATTGCATTGATTGGTGGCCTTAGGGATCTAGAAACTTCTAGTGAACAAAGAATATTCTTTGTTTCCTTGGCCAACTGGGGTCTGTCTATTTCTCACTTGTACCAAGGCATATCCTACTCCCCATTTACATTCTGCAGGCCTAAGTGTGTGCTTGGTTCCACAGAATGTCAGGACCAAATAACTTCACCGGCACTCTGCAAAGGGCAAATTTAAGGTCATCTATATTAGTTCCCTAATAGCCTTCACCCTGTTGCATGACATGTAGGTTCTAGCTTCTGTAACATAGGCAGCTGCACTGCCCATTTCCCTTACTAAAGCAAAAGTGTGGCTGGTCTCTAAAAGCCCTCCCTCTAGTTGCCAGCTCATCAGAAACACATATTTCGAAAAGTTGCTTGAGATTCGCCTGCTGCATTGCACTCTAGTTTTGAAGGATTTACACCTTAGGAAATAGATGTATACTCTAGTAAATAAGTGATTTAGGTGTTTATTGAACAGCTTTTATCAATTTAATGCCGCTGTTGATTTAAAAATTAACAAAACTTAACAGGAGCCAGTGACAGAGTGGGACATGAAGTGCGCTGGAGAAAACCAGTGAGTGAAAACTACTAACTCTACATAGAGAGAGAGAGGGGGTCTGGCTTCTTATTTTGGAAATGGTACTCAGATTCTGGAATGGAAATCTAGCCACTGAAACTGAGTGATGAAAGGACTTTCCTTTCAGTTTCTGGTTTTTGTTATCTGAATCACATTCAGGAGGTCAGAGAGGAATGGCGTTGGAGATGTCAGCTGCAGGCCCAACAGGTTGTTCACGGGAAATGAAATTGTTGTAGATTCCAATGTTCAAATCAGTGACCTTGCAGTTTCTTGCTGGATTCGCAGCCCTGACTGCAGCCCTTACGGGCGGGTCATGACTTTGACCTGAGTCCTTTGTCTAGACCACCTGAGGTGTTATCATCCATCAGCTAATGTGTTTTTCTGATTGTGCCGCTTACTGGGACATGCAACAGGGCAGCGTTCGTGGAGGATCTGACTCTGCAGTTGAGATGAAACTGAAAAAACACAGTTACAAAAATGTGACAAAGTATATGGGTCTTGTATGATATTATATCCTTACAGGATATAATCAAAGAAATTAACAAAACATTTCCTAAGAATATCTTTTACTGAAATGTTTATCAGTCCAAAGGCACGAGTTAATTCATTAACACCTTTGAAAGGTTGGCAAACACTTTAGAATATCTGTAATTTCATTCTATCTGTCTAAGAGAGTAAATAAAATGAAATTTATTACATGCAAGCTTCACCTACATGACAGCACCATAAAATTGAAAAGAAAAAAATTAGGCAAATAACAAGATTTTTTTTTGAGTGAGCTTTATGGATTACCAACTAACCAGCTTGACTGAGTTTTCTTTGTTGTGATGACCAGTTACAATGAAATTGATTAAACCCTGTATCAGTTTTGATGTCCTGTACACAAACCTACAAACAAACTGAACTTGCAGTATTCTTACAAGAATTCTGTTCATTAAAACTGAGGGAAATAAGCTTGCTCAATTTTATCATATTGTTAATTAAGTAAATATTTACATTTCACCCAGACTACTTTTCAAGATTATAAAAAAGGAGTAGTTATTGATTCAATTTGTAGACTACCTGTAGGACAGATACCTTTTTTGATAAGTAGCACATTTATAGGAAACTGACTGAAAATGATGGTTATAATGGGGGAAAGTTACCAGAAAGCAGCAGCTTGGTGTTTCATTGTTTTTATCATATACTGATTTCAAAATCAGAGTCATTGAATGGAAAGTCAACACTTATTTGGGGAATAATTCTCCTAAAATTGTAAGCTTTACATAATGTTTGCATAGCAAGATGTTTCTGCCTCTAGCCTTTAGGAATGAAGATCTGATCAGAATTTCACAAGAAGGCAGTTGTTTTACCGTAAAGACTGGGGACAGATAAGACATCACGTGCCCCCAACCCTCTAGGTGGCTAGTGTTGTCATTGTTCCAGAAGCTTGTTAGGATATTAAGCATCTCAGCAGAAACCGAGGAAACATATGTTTAATACCAAAGTGCTATTTTTACAGCATCATTTTCCAAACTATGTTCTTGAACAGCTTTTCCCCTTCAACACACCCCCTGCCCACCTTCAGTTTGGCACAAGGTATCTCATACATAATACTGACAGCTAAACAAGAGTCTAAAAAACACATTTTTAAAATTCAAGTTACAGAAGACCGTGAGTGCCCCAGCACAGAGAGCGGGCACCTGATTTTCTGCCTTGGATGTTGTCCAGCTGGATAAAAGCACAAGGGCAGTGTGGTATGCTTTTCAAGGCTTCAAAAATGAAACTACACAGATCGTGTATCTCGGGAGAAAAGCATAGCAGCAGAATATAGTGCTTTTGTTGTAAGTGTTTGTAGTAAATGTTTTACTAATTCTTGGTCTCTAGGAAAGCTTTCTGTCTCTCACTTGTGGCAAAATGACTTCTTTGGGTCTTCTCGTTATCGTTTACGCGTCGGCGGTGTAGCCCAGATTTAAAACATTTTATCTGATTGTCAGATGCCCCCGCGTCTCCCCAGGCCTCCTCCACCTCCAGACACCACGCTGGTATTTGCAAGCACAATTTCCAAGAGCACTTTGTATGAAGATGGATGAGACCAGACCAGCCCCACTCTGGCCACGAAGGTCCATTGCTTGAGGGTGACGAAGATACAGTTTAGCCGGTTTTGCCACAGTCTTTCTTTCTGGATCCTCTGTGTGGAATGCAACAGCCCTGTGGGGCGCGGGGTGGAGGTGGGGGAGGGAAGCCAGCTTTTCTAAAACAGTGGAAGTCGAAAAGGAGTATCTGTTTTTAAGCTTCGTCCATCTCCAGTGGAATGTTTTTAATGAAAAGATAAAATGTGGATAGTCCTTTAGTAACAAATCTCTATGTAGAGTAGATATAGTTTATACCAAAATTATAATATAGATATATACAAAAAGAGGTGCCTTTTTGATTACCCTTGTTTATTCACTATGGTCTGGGAAAGAAAACCAAGCAGGCAAGCTTCTGCCTGTTCTGTAGTGATATTTTATTACCCACGACTGGTATTTGTGTGGTGGGGAAGTGAGATGCTCCTGACAGATATGAAGGGTGATAGCCGATTGTATTTTACTTCTCAAGGCTTAGAACTTTAGAAAATACTGACTCCTTCTATCAATTTCTGAAATGTTCTTTGTAGATTTATATGTAGTTGAGATGCATAAACATTAATTTTAGGTTTGAGATTTAAAATACCTATTATAAGATAGAAGAATTATATTATGAGGCTGAATTCATTACACGAGATGAAACGCACTTCATACATTTATCATCTCTTAGCTATTTGCTTCTGACAATCTAAAAGTGGCTGACATATGCTTGTTTTGGGTCCCATGGCATGGTGGTGAGAAAGCATCAGTTAAGACACTACTTAAACAAATGGAAGAAGCTATGGAAGTGAATGCTGAAGCAGAAGTCTCCTCCCCAAGTCGTCCATGCCCATTAGCGTACTTGCCAGGCCTCTGTCAAACTGCTGATGGTCAAAGGACTCACGTTATATGAAGCTTCTGTGTCCATTGTTCCATGATGCTTAGACTCCTGGAATCCACAAGCCTGGAAGGATGGACCCCCGGGACAAACGTCTCCCCCCATTGTCCATGTTACTTTGTTGTATTCGTGGGAATTTCATATGGTTTTTGTGTTTGCTGTATGGCATTCAGTTTGCATAGTATATACTTCTTTGTAATCTAGTTGCTACTAAGGATGATTTACTGGAAAAAAAAAAGAAATCTGCATTATGGTCTCATTTTTCAGTGTCCACACAAGGAATGGCTGAGCATTTAGAAGTAGCCGTAAGCGTGTGACAGGCACAGTGTGGAAATGCTTGGTCTTTGACCTGTGATAAAAATGCAAAACTGAATCATTGTGCAGTTTGGCTTCTATTTGCTTCAAAATATGTAGAATGGTGGTTGATGATTCAGTTCCTGCTAACTGAGAGCTTACAGTTTGGGAGGAAATGATGTTTTTAAAATGAAGGGACTTACAGAACGAACAAAACAATGTTTTTAAGATAATTTGGCTTTTGTTATGCAAATCATTAACACCAGCTATTAAAATATATTTTAGTAGAAACGCTTTAATTCATTTTTTTCCTCTACACTGTGAATCTTGAAGCCTTGGCGGACTAGAGCGACATCGTGCTGTCCAAAGGACTAACCTATGCAAACTAGCTCACATTTTAGTGGACGTCACAGTAATTGTGTAATAAGACATTATTCCCCCTGCGTAATGTACAGTGGCACTGAAAAACACATTAAGCCTCGCATCACTTGTTTATAGTGTAGTCACTCACAAACCCTTCGAGGCTACCATGATCATTAGTATTATTATTCATTTAAAAGCAAATCACGGACTTATCTATTAAAACTACTTGAACGATGTCATAACAAGAGTGACGGGTGGATGTGTCAGCCATGGCGTCAGTGTGGTCACTGCAGGTGTTCTCCTGAGACAGAACCGTGTTCTCAGATGCACTCTCTTCAGGGTATTAATATTCTGTGTCTTCTTTCTGTATTTGTAAAACATTATGATGCTTTAATTTCCTATCTCTACATACTCGGTTTGCTTAAATAAATGCAGAATATAAAAATGGTTCCAACTCTTGGTTCTCACCTTGGTTTCTCCGAGCATGAGTGATCAGAGCTTGGTTTCTTGCAGCATGGGTCATTGATAATACCCTGGGTCTTAGGTTTATCGTGACAACTCACATCCAGTTGCATCAAAGGTGTGTGTTGGCATTAGTGGCCTTACATTCATGAATCATTCAAAATGTGTCTTCCTCTCCAAATATACTTAGTTTTAAATGATAACGATATGCTTTTCAAGGTTCAGTGTCTTTATTATTTTATATCAAAGTACAACAATAATAATGCATTATCATAGTTCACTTCTTTCAAGACTAAACTCCTAATGTCCTCAATAGTACTGTTTTAATTTTCTCGAACTTGTAAGATGAAAGAAACAGCTTGAAGCAAAGAACAGAAGATGCCCAAATTAAGTACATGAAACAGGAAGATGCTCTGATTTCTCAGCTAAGAAAGGCTCATTTATCATAGAACGTAATTGCTTTTTCCCCTAATTTTCCCATAGTTGTCAAAAGTGAGTTAGTCCCTATTTTTGCACTCATAAATCTATGAGACTAGAACCTTAGCCTTCCTGCATTGTTTTGTGTGAGTTCCTTTTGATGGCACACGAGCTCTGCTCAGTACCAACCGATCAGCTCTGTGAACGGCACCCTTAGGTCACTTGCTCACAGAGTCAGCACTTCCTTCTAAATCTTGAACTTTGTAGGTTTTTTTAATATTGCAAAAGTATGAAATGAATATTTGTGTGTTAGTAATCATCAAACATGTTGATATTTAAAATTACGAAGCAGCTTATTTATTTATTTGAATAATTTACTATCTTTTTCTATCTCTAAGATTTTTTTTCCTCTATGATAACAAATTTACTTTGGAGCCAAAGCCACAGAGAAATAAAATAACCTAGTAAAGTTTTTTTTTTAAACTAAAATAATTTAAGTTTAGAATATGCTGTACTTACAATTTTATTAACTTAAAAATTTGCAAAGATAATTTTATAAATAATTGAGACATACATGACCACCAGAAGTCTATCACAATAATTTTTTATAAAAATATTCAGATTTAGTAAATTAAAGTAGATAAAAGTTTTGTTCCTTTCTTTGTGCAATCTGCTTCTCCCTAAGGAGATAAAAGAAAAGTTCTGTTCCTTTGTGAATGTAATCTGCTTCTCCTACACACAGGGCTGAATAAGAGTTTTGTGATTGCAGAAAACTGGATGTGGTCCCAGTGGGGACTTCAACTGCTCTCTGCAGTTCTAAGCAAAATTCTCAGGCCCTTGTCTATTATATTTGTACTTGGAAGCAGCAGAATTCTGATGAAAATAGAATTAGAAAATAGATGTAAAGCGTGAAAAGTCAGCATTAGAATAGAGAGCTCAGTGACTGATCTGTATTTATACCATGGCATTTTGATCTTTGCTGCTTTTCATTTTTTTTTAAAGCTGCAAACATGAAAGAGGATAGTAGACTGAAATCGAGAAAGCCCAACCTGAACTTCAGTTATTCCACTTGAAAAAACAAGGCACTTTACTGCATTCCAAATTCAGTTATTAGGTTGCCCTATAAATGAATTAGTTTCTGGTCCTGGACCAAGGATAGTCACACTTACAGCCTTTTTCCAGAGGCTTGCTGTCCAAGCTGGTCATGGCCGACTGGCTCCAGGTGACTGGCCTGCAGACCTCCCAGGTGCCCTCAATGCTGCACAAGAACTTTGCTTCACAGGGCTGTTGGGAACAGGACCTGTCCAGATCTTCTTGAACAGCTTGAGTTCACAAGGCAGAGCAGGTTAGCTAAGTGGTTATATTGTTAGAAGCTAAAAGACATAGAAAAGGAAGAAGGAAGTCAGGAGTAAGGTGTGAGTAAGTAGAAAGCATAAGAACGAAAAGGTCATGAGATGGAGAAGAGATATTTTAGTAGATGGGGAAGAGACTGAGTAAAAAGTAAAGTAGATGGATGGCCACAAGTGGCAGGACCCAGCTAAAGACAGGAAGAAATGGATTCTTGTTACCGCGGCTCCTGGGATTAGGCAGCCCTGAACCCTGCCGCCGAGGGCGTGCCCACGCTCCACGTCGGGTGTGCAAAGCCATCCTGCTGACACGGTGAGGACACCTCTTATCTTGACAAGCATCAAATTTCATGAATGATGGAAGGATTTGCACCCACAGAAAACATTGGGTGACAAATGTGACTGAAATGTCAATTATATTATTATAGTTCAAATGTTCCAAAGAGACTTAAGTTTTCTTTTATGATACATTATACTTATATATCTTTTTGAAAATCACTTGAGGCAGAAATTGTTTCTCTGGGTCCTATGAAGAATATCCATAATTAATATCAAATGAATTTAAATTCAACCAGTCGGTATGTAGAAGGAAAGAATTGGGGTTTAGTAAAATCTTGTGATTTCTAAATGGGCAAAAAGGAGGCAATGATTGGAGCCATTCCCAGTCACCATGAGCTGCCCCATCGTATCTTCCTGAATCTCATTGAGGGCTTGAAATCTGCTCTCTTTCAAAAGTGATTGTAGTTTTGGGAAAAGTCAGAAGTTGCAGGGCCCCAAAACTGGATTGTAGAGGGGCTGAATCACCTGGGTGATTTGATGTTTCACAAAAAACCTCAATGAGATGTGATGCATGAGCAGATGCATCATCGTGTTGAAGTTGCCAATCTTCAGTTGCCCATAAGTGCCACCTTCTGAATCATCTGAATAGTTTCTGAGGAGGAATGTTCATGCTTAATGCAAAATTGGATGCAGATTTGTTGCTCTTACTTGCTCATTTTGAATGCAGTGGCCACACAATGCACATGCTCACTCTGCAGCATCTACCACGCCCACTGACTAGTACAGTGAAGTCATCATTATTCAGGATGAGCATTCCAGGTCACTCTCCTTGGCTGCCAGAATACATTGATATCACATAAACCATTTTCCTTATATTAACAATGGCTGGACTTTTTCCAGACCTCATATATCTCATATTTACTCTGTGTTTATGTGATTCAAGAAAGAGAACATAGGACCTTTCATAAATCTTTAACATACTGGTAGGGGACGCTGATATTGACTAAGGATATGTATTTATACATTTATATATACTTGTGTATACTTACAAAATGAATTGCCTGGTTGCAGCTTAAGAAATGTTATGAAATAAGAAGCCTGGTGCACCCTGAGTTCTTGTGGTGAGAAGTGGGTAGACTTGACTGGGGGCGGGTCGGAAGGTTTCTCTGAGGAGCTGCTGTGTGAACTGAGCTCTGAAAGCTGCACCAGAAGCAGTTTCTGCCCATCTAGACATTAGACTCGTAGAAAAACTGAGTCACTGGCAGCCAGTCATAGATGGACTCCAGTCCACTCCCAAATTTTAAGTAGTGATGGAATGTTTTCGTATTTTTAAAAACCCTTTATGAACAAGTATCAGGGTATGCACATACATGAATTTATGTATATGTACTACTCTTTTATTTCTCTAATTATGACTTACTCCTCTAAAAAAAGTCAGCAGGTTGCAAAGACTTAATTGTATAAACAAAGTTTTATAGATGTGGAATACGTCACTTCCTTTTTTTGGACGGTTGGTTGTTATGTAGGTTTCTGTGTCCTCACTGCCGCCCCGAATGTTTTGGAAAGTGTGTGCTCATTGGAGTGTATGTCAGGCTGTGTGCCGCGGAGCCATTGATTCCAGTGCTGTCTCTCCCATTTTACGTTGGGCAGACTCAGGGGCTGCTGTTCCCATCTCATAGGGGTTTCGAGTTAGGTTCGCTAACTGGATGACACAGGGGAAAATTACGATGTAAAAACACTGTTGGTAATTATTTATAGTAAGTCCTTACTCTGAGGTAAATCATGGCTTTTTAAAAACAGCAAAGTTCTAAATGAAATTTGAGTATCTGCCTCCTTAAAAAGTCTGACAGCATGTTTGCACACTTTATCTTGGCTACCCTTGTCCCATTTAAATTAATAATTGTTAATATTTTGGGTGTATTGATTTCCCTAATCAATACCTAGTAAAATGCTTGCTGTGTGAACACTCTGAAATTTGTAAACATTTCCTGGCTGCAGGTACGTCTTTCTTTTGGAAAGAAATGTTTTGACTTTCAAGATGATGCCATAAAAGGTGATTTCTGAAAGCTTTACAAACTTTTTGTTATGTTGCTTTTTTAAGAAAAAAAGTAGTATTGATGATCCAACCACAGTATCATGTTTTTACAGCTAAACCTTGAAAAACACAGGGGTTGGGGGCACTGACCCCACCCCCACCTGACACTATTGAAAATTCATATATAACTTTGACTGCCCCAAAACTTCACTACTAATAGCCTACTATTGGCCAGAGCTTTACCAATAACATAAACCATCAGCACGTATTTTGTCTGTTGTATGTGTTCCATATATAACATATACTGTATCCTTACAAGAAAATGAGGTACAGAAAAATCATAAGGAAGAGATTTTCTTATGGAAATTAGGAAATCATAAAAAGAAAATACATATATTTTATGCATTCATGGGTAAATAAATTTTTCTCGATTTTTTTATATTTGTAGGCTATGCACTTTGAATTTTTTCTAATTGTTACAAATTTCCAAAATATTTTTCAATATATTTATTGGGAAAAAAGTCCACTATAAGTGGACGCATGCAGTTAGAACATGTTGTTCAAAGGTTGCCTGTATTGTAACTACACATAATATTTTTGTCTACAAATCACATCCCTGCTGGTTTCTATGAATTTGCGTGGGGTCAGGAGAAGAAGCGCCCGAAAACCCTGTGGGGCAAACTTGTTTTGTGTGACCCACCTGCAGAGGCTCCTTCTGGGTGTGTGGGCACCAGCCCCCGTAGGCCAGGCGATGTGGCTCCTTGCTCTGACAGCCGTCTTCCAGCTGGAACAGGGAACAGGCACAGTGAGACGTTGTCCATGTCCATGATTTATGTTCTAGAGAGACGTGGGAGAGAACGGTTCTCATGGTGATTTCTTCTCCAAGCAGGCATATAAAGATATTTATGGTATGAT